CCCGGTGGGCTCCGTCGGTGCTGTAGGGCCCGTTGTGCCAGTAGGACGAGTCGCAGACCGTCTGCAGGGAGTTGATTTCCGAGGCGGAGGAGTTGGCGTCCCTCCTCTTGGAGCGCTTTCTGTTCCTCAGGATGAACACCAGCATGCCGACCACCGTGAAGGCAGAGGTCACAAAAACCAGCAGGAGCCCTGGCACCAGCACCGAAATGGAGACCCTGCTGGTCTCCAGGTAGGAGTTGGAGTGAGTACCTGTCTCTGCCAACCCAGTGCTGTTTTTGTTAGTGGAAGTTAACGTGGGCGAAACTTTTAGCTGCGGGCAAATCACGTCATTGGAGAGAGACTCGAAATCCTCCCTGAAGAAATCTTCCGGGGACTCACACCTCAGGTCGCTCATGATCACCTTGGGGCGCAGCATCTCTGCCCACTGTTTGAAAGGCACGATAGGGCAAGTACAGTCCCACGGGTTGCCGTGCAGGTCGATCTGGGTGATGGAGGTGAGCTGGTCCAGCACTCCCGCCACGGGGAGGTACATGAAATAATTATTGTGTATGCTCAGCTTGGAAAGCGAGACTCCAGCAAACACGTCGACTGGGAGAGACCTCAGCAGGTTGTTGTTGAGGATGAGGACCCTCAGTTTGGGCATCGCATTGAAGGTGCCAGGCATGATCAGCTGGATGCCATTAAACTCTACATTCAGATACTCCAGGTTTTGCAGCCCAGAGAATTTCTCCCGGGATAGGGTGTCTAAGTAGTTGCTATCCATGTAGAGCCATCGGAGATCAAAGAGGTTCTTGAAGGTGTTGTTCTCGACGGTGGCTATGTTGTTGTTGCCCAGATCCAGCAAATTAAGTTTCCGATAATCCAGAAAGTGGGATTTCCTGATGGTATGTATTTTATTGTCCCTCAGAAACAGCTCCTGCACATTGGGCGGCTTGGGTTTCAAATCCACCAAGCTGCTCACATTCCTGTCGTTGCAATTAACCTTTAAACCCGCGCCAGGGATCTGATCGCAGCTGCAGATCTGAGGACAAGGCATGGTAGCCGGTAGTTTGCTCTTCACACTAACTGTCGACACGGCAGCAGTAGGTCTGGTCTTGATTTGCCAGTTGACGGGAATCTTTGTACCTCCGTTTGGACCAGATCCTGGTGTGGCAGGGTCTTCTTTGCCATGTATTTTAAAAGGGGTTGGAATGGGACCAGGATCGCAGGTTTCTTCTTCGGCAGGGGGAGCAGCTAGACTAGAATCCACTCTGTTCTTTTTGCATAGCTCTTGCTCTGTGGTCTCATTTAAATCTTTGCCCTGCAACCTAGTGGGAGCCTCACAAATCACTCTGCCGATCAAAGCGTTTTTGGGTATGTTTTCCAGCCATTCCTTCAACGATAGCAGATCGCAAGTGCAGTCCCAGGGGTTATCCTCTAGCAGGATTTCAGCAATGCCTGGGATCTGCTCCAGGACCTCCTCGTAAGGCAAGGTTTTAAGACGGTTTCCCCGGAGGTCGAGGTGGGTGATCGGCACATACTGAAACACGTTGGGGGGCAAGGTGCTGATGAGATTGTCATTTAAAATCAGCACCTCTAGCTTGTTTAAGTCCCTAAATGCTCCCGGGTCAATATCCCGCAATAGATTAAAATCTGCCTGGAGATACTCCAGATCGTCCAGCCCCAGGAAAGTCTGCTTCCTGAACGATTTGATCTTGTTGTTGTTTATGTGCAAGCGTTTCACCAGCTGCAGCCCAAGGAAAGCCCCAGGAACAATCTCATGCAAACCGTTGTTTTCCATGTGCAAACTGACTGCATTGTAAAAGTTAGCAAACTCATTAGGGAAAAGTCGAGTCAGGGAATTTCCATGCAGGAATAAATGGTAAAACTGGGAAGTTGGGGCGGTGAAATGTTGCAGGCTGGTAAATCCCTTTTTCTCACAGTCTACGTGCAAATCCCCTTCTATCTCGTTGCAGGCACAGATCTTCTCTTTGCAAACGTCCCCTGTAACGTTTCCAGCAGCAAAACAAAGAGACGTCTCCAGCAACAGAATCCAAAGCAGCATTTTTAAACCGAGCGATTCATTCCCGATCTCATCACAAAGTAACAGCAATCATCCTCCTCACACCGAAAACAATTCCAGTTCATTCAATACATGAAATGTCCGAACCACCACCAAAGGGGAAAAAAATGTGGGGAGGGGGATCAGGGAGGGTCGGCGAAGGGGGGGGGACCTCTTTCTTTTCTCCTCTATCCCTCTCTTCCCCCCCCCGCCACATACAACTGCAACAGCCCAGATTCCAGTCAATAATTATATCCACAAACTATCCAGGCACGTACTGCAAGGCACGCAAAAAAAAAAAAAAAGAAAAGAAAAAAAAAAGTAGAAGGAAAAAATTCCCCCTCCTCGATTCCCCTCCCTGGC